CTCCTCCTCCTCCTCCTCCTCCTCCTCCTCCCCCTCGGACTGGCCAGAATGGAGATCGAATCGCATCGATCGGATCGACATGGGCCCTGGAGGTGGGTCCCCCGCCTGGCTCTGCACCTCCGCGCCAAGCTGCTGCGCCGCGGTGCAGGACGTCGCCGCCGCGTCGCGGCCTCGGGATGCCGCCGCGGCCGTCGCCGCCAACCGACGGCGCCGCCCACATATCCTTCCCAAGCCTGCGGGAAATCAGCGATCTTGCGCGGCTCCAAGACGACCCAAGCGCGCCACAAGACTAGAGGCCTCCTAGATGGGGTCCGAATAGATGGGGTCGAAGGATCACGCCGCATCGGCGCTACATTGGCGATGCATCGTCGTCGCGCCAGTGATACATCGTCGACGTGGGCGATTCATCGGCGACGTCGACGTGAAGCAACTCGGGCTCCACATCGAGCCGCAACGGCGATGCATCGGCGATGCGGCGCGATCCTCCGACCCCATCTACTCGGACCCCATCTGGGAAGCCTAGATGCTCGGAAGGCTCGGAAGGCTGGGACGCCCCCTGGCCTTCTCCTCCTCACTTCCCCTTCCTCGCTCGCCGCCGAGATGGGGCGGGATGGGCACGACCAGGGCCTCCACCGCCAACCGCCCATGGATCGCTGATGGCGGCCCCAATCGCCCCAACCCGCCGCGGAACGTGCGCACACACCGTCGGGGCCATGCCACCGACCCTTCGACGACGCACCGCCCACTCCAGGCTGAAGTCGGGGCCTGTCCCTCTACAGGGGGAATCTTCAACAGTAGTCAAAAACTAGCCTGGGGACTATTTCTGGAGTATATTTTTGACCACCCTGCAATATTTTTTGAGTATTTTCTTATTTTTCGTCGAGGCTGAGGCCGAGGCTGAGGCTGAGGCAGGCTGAGGCTGAGGCTGTGACTGCGACTGCCGTTGCCACTGCGACTGTCATCGCGAATGCGACTGCGACGGCGAGAACAGCAGAATTCTACAACTGGATTCTCATCTGAATCTTAAGGGGAATGCTTCCAGATATGCTCCTACACATCGCTGTTGGGTTGCTTTGCCGGGATGATTTTTATTTTTCGTCGAAAATCCCCCTGTAGGGGGACAGGCCCGACTTAATTCCAGGCGGCTGCAGCGCTCGCCGCCGCACCTCCGACCCCCCCCCCCGAGGCGGCGGCACACCCCGCCGGGCCGAGGCCCCCGCTCAGCTGCGCCGCCTGCTCGAAGAGGGCCCGCGACGCCACGTCCGTGTCCACCTGGCAGCAAGGGCTCCAGAGCACACAAGCAAATACGCACAAAATAAAAAGATGCCCCAACTTTTCCCATATTTTCGGGGTTTCCGTCTTCCTGCCCAATTCCCATATTTTCTTGGGAATGGAGGATTCATGGTGTCTGTGTGTTTCTTCCCCTCCTGAAACAAGGGCTGCCAGCCTCGCGCTTCGCGCTCCGCGAAGCGCGAATAACTTCGCGCTCTCGCGCCGCCTCCCAAAGGGAGAAGAGGAGGATGAGGAGGAATCGGAGCCGAAGCGCGAGGCGCGAAGAACTTCGCGCCCTCGAGGGCGCCCTTGGGCAAGCGCAGGTCGGGCGCGTCCTCCTACCGGCGGATTTTGGGCGAAAGCTGAGACACAGTCCAGAAGCAAATCAGAGAGTGGTCAAGAGCTGCTGGGAGGATCGCCCCCAGGCTACTTTCTGACCGCTTTTGGAGACTCCTCCTGTAGGGGAGCATGCTTCGGGGATCTTCTGACCCGGGTCTATCCTGACCCGGGTCAGCAGGGGACTAAAAGCTGCAATGCAGGGGAACAAAAACTGCAGCACAGGTCTTCGCAAACCCGGGTCTGCCAATACGCGCGGCCGCCTCGCGGCCACGAGCGGCTCGCTGACCCGGGTCAGCCAGGGGAGGTCTTCGCAGCACCCTGCAGGGTCCGGTGCCCTTGCTGACCCCCGTTTGCATTGACCCCCGTCTCTTGAGCCCCGAATCTAGGGCTCCCAACTTCGCGCTTCGCGCTGCGCGAAGCGCGAATAACTTCGCGCTCTCGCGCCGCCCTCCCAAAGGGAGAATAGGAGGACGAGGAGGAGGGGGAGAAGGAACGAGGACCGCGAAGCGCGAATAACTTCGCGCCCTCGAGGGAGCCCTTGATTGACCCCCGTCTCTTGAGCCCCGAATGCTCGACTTCATGGGGCAGGCCCGGGCCCCGCACTCGCCGCCGCCGCCCTGGACGCCCTCGCCGCCACCGCTGCCCTCGCCGCCGCCGCCCTCTCCCGAGCTCTGTGAAGGGGCCCCAGGACACACAACTAAATACACACAAATAAAAAGATGCCCCATATTTTCCCATACTTTTTGGGGTTTTGTCCTCCCCCCCACTTCCCATATTTTCCCAATATCTTCTGGGGAGTCGACGATTCATTGTGTCTCTGTGTTTCTTTCCCCCCTGAGCTCTGGGCGAGCGCGCGTGCGCGCGGGGCCTCGGGGGGCATCCCGTGGGGTCCTCGGAGGCCTTACGGCAAGCTCTCACGCGGCGGCGGCGCGCCGGCGAAGGCGTTCGAGGCTGAACTCCGCATGACAGCACGACGCGGAGGCACCGAGGGGCACGGCAGCGCCACACGATCCGACTGAGTTCAGCCTGGAAGGATCTGGGCCGCGGTCGGTTCACAGTGGAACGATCGACGCGGTGTCAACTTTGCGCGCGCCGACGCCGCACGGACCTACCGTACTGGTGCTCACAATGATAAGTGTAAGAAGAATAATAGCAATCATACGAGTAACAATAATAAGACAAGCATACGGATAATAATAATAATAATACTACTAATAATAATAAAAAGAAGAAGAAACGGCTTGAACATAAAACGTCCGCCCGGATTTCTTGGATCGGCGCTGGATCCCCCTGGCGGCGCCTCAAACCCCGCCCCTGGCTCGCTTCGCGCGCTGGGGAAGGGGGGCTCTGGCGCCGACCACAGGTCGGGGATCTTCTGACCCGGGTCAATCCAGACCCGGGTCAGCAGGAAACCAAAGACTGCAATGCAGGACAAAAAAAAAAACTGCAACGCAGGTCTTCGCAAACCCGGGTCAGCCAATGTGGGCGGCCGCCTCGCGGGCAGAAGCACGGCTCGCTGACCCGGGTCAGCCCGAGGGGGTCTTCGCAGGACCCTGCAGGATCTGGTGCCGTGGCTGACCCCCATTTGCATTGACCCCCGTCTCAAGGCTCCCGAACAGGAGTGCGCCAGGGAGGGGGCTCCGGCGCCGATCACGGGAGGAGGAGGAGGGGGAGGAGGAGGAGGAGGAGGAGGAGGAGGAGGAGGGCGGCTAGGAGGAGAAGGGGGACGAGGAGGAGAGGAGGAGTGAGGAGGTAGGAGGAGAGAGTAGGAGGAGGAGGGGGGAGGAGGAGGAGGAGGAGGATGAGGAGGAGGAGGAGGAGGAGGGATGGGAGGAGATCCGGCCGTTGCACTCTCTTCGCGCTGGGCGTCCTCGCTCAGTCTCGGGACCCGGGGCCCTCGCAGATCGACCCGGGCCCGAGGAGCGCCGCGGCAAGAGGGGGTCCGGGGCTCCCTGAAGGGGCCCAAGGACACCCAAATAAATGCACACAAATAAACAGCTTCCCCATATTTTCCCATATCTTCTGGATGTCTGTCTTCCCCCCCACTTCCCATCTTTTCCCATATTTTCTGGGGGATCGACGATTCATTGTGTCTGCGTGTTTCTTTTCCTCCTGACTCCCGTCGTGATGTTCCGCGAGGTTGCAACTTTTGGGCGAAGGCGGATCTCAGGGTCGCCGCCGCCGCCGATGCCTCCGTCGCCGTCCCAGATCCCCGACGGTTTTTTGTTTGTTTTCATTCCTGGCGTTCTTGGGCGGCGAACGAGGGGAGAAGTGAGAAGGAGGAGGCCTTCTTAGAAGGCTCGGAAGGCTTCGGGCCTGCTAAGAACTTTTCTGAGCCTGCCCCGAAGGCACAGAAAACTCCTCAAAGGCTGGAGGGCTCCTGAGAAACCCCGCCGCCTTCTGAGAAGGCCTCCTCCTCCTGGCTTCCCTTGCCTCGCTCGCCGCCGAGTTTTCCTTCGGCCCCTGGGACCATCAAAAGTGCACCCATGGTCCACTGTCGGCCTCTGGGGCTCTCAACAAAAAATGCATCCATGATCCAGGGCAGGAGGAGGAGGAGGCGGAGGAGGAGGAGGACCAGGAGTAGGAGGAGTTGGAGGAGGAGCGAAACTAGGAGCAAATGGTGGGGGTGGGGGGACAGCGGAGAAGTGGGGGAGGGAGGGGCTCAGGAGGGGCGGGGGAAGAGTGGGTGGAGCGGGCGAAAAGAGGGGGAGGGAGGGGGGGGAGAGGGGGGCCAAGGCTCGAGCTGAACCGTGTTGTTCGTTTTGTCTTCGTTTTCCTGCGCTCTGCCTCTGCTGCGAAGCGACATCAAGACGAGAACGGTCCACGAACTCGCCCAAACACCGCTTAGCTGGAGCCCTGAGGACGCCGTCGATGCATCGCCGACGTCGCCAGTTCATCGCCGATGCATCGGCGATGCGGCGCGACCCTCCGACCCAGTCTGCTCCGACACCATCTGGGAGGTCTAGAATTAGGTCGGGCATGTCCCCCTGCAGGCGGATTTTGGACGAAAAGTTAAAACTAGTAAACAAAATACTCCCAAATGGTTAAATCGTCAAGCCATCGTCCCCAGACTATTTTTTCACTATTTTTGAATACTCCTCCTGTAGAGGGACAGGCCCGACTTACGCCTAGAACCTTGGGCCGAGCAGGAGGCTTCCTGCCTCATCGTGTCGGGTGTTCTTCAGTCGTGTGTTGCCTCGTCTTGTCGGCCGAGCAGCGGCTGCCAGCCGCGTCGGCCCGCTTGCACTGCTGCTGCTGCTGCTGCCGCTGCTGCTGCTTCGCGGCGTTCCCCCCCCTTTCCCCCCCTGCTTCCTCCCCCATGCTTTCTGTCGCGCCGTCTCTGCGTCGTCGTCTCTCCTTCTCTTTTTCCCCCCTGCTCTCTGTCTCTTGCCCACGAGCCTGGGGAAGCATCGGGCGCTGCTTTATGGGGGGCCGATAAAAGTGTGTGTGTGTGTGTGTGTGTGTGTGTGTGTGTGTGTGTGTGTGTGTGTGTGTGTGTGTGTGTGTGTGTGTGTGTGTGTGTGTGTGTGTGTGTGTGTGTGGGGGAAATGTGCACCTCTGGTGGGCCTTTTGGGCCCCAAGGGCACCGTTTAGGGAACAAAAGGCTCGCCCCCCCCCCGTTAACCGCCCCCACCCCACTCGGGGGCGTCCAGTCTTAGGTCGGGCATGTCTTCCTACAGGCGGATTTGGAAAGAACAATGAAAAATATCCAAGCCATGCTCAACACACAGCCTAAAGTAGTCGAAGCATAGTCCCCATATGGTTTTTCACTATTTTGGAATATTCCTCCTGCAGAGGGACATGCCTGACTCAAATCCAGTTCCAAGAGGGGGGCGTCCAAGAGGGGTGCGCGTGCAAATCATGGCCCGCGGCATGTGCGCGGCTGGGGGGGGGACCAGGAGACACACTGAAGCAAGAAGAGGTCATGGCCTCGGCCATGACATCCCCCCACCGTCTTATGTTACTCCCATGTCGAGCGAGTATCGCCTCCCAAGGCCCGACACGTGAAAACCATCCAGTTCCGGTACTTCCGAGGTGCTCGAAAGTCTTTCTGGCGGTCAAGGCTGACACAGGTCGGAACATCATAACCCTCATCATCACCCCACCAGGGGGTACGGAAAAGCTGGGGAGGGGAGGGGAGGGGAGGGTGCTGGGTGGGGGGAGGGAGGGAGAGGGAGGGGATGGGAGTCCGACCATTGCTAGGGAAAATTGACTGTCGTGACATGACCAAAGAGGGATGGGTGGGGGATTTCTGGGGGCCTGGGGTGATTCCAAGCAGGCTCTTCAGGCCGGTGTTGGAGGGAGGGAAGGTATTCGAAGCCGACTCGGGAGGAGGAGAGGAGGAGGGGAGGTGGAGGAGGAGTGTGGGAGGAGGAGAGGGAGGAGGGAGGAGGGAGGAGGAGGAGAGAGAGGAGGAGAGGAGGAGGATGAGGAGGAGGAGGAGGAGGAGGAGGGAGGAGGAGGTGGCTGGGGAGGAGGAGGAGGGGAGGGAGGAGGAGGACATTAGGAGTGCATAGGAGGAGGAGGAGGGAGAGGAGGAGGTAGGAGAGGAGGAGGAGAGGAGGAGGCGGAGGCATGGAGGAGGAGGAGGAGGAGGAGGAGGAGGAGGAGGAGGAGGAGGGGAGCGCCCGCGGTTGGGCAAGCGGCCTCCCGGCTCCGAAGAGAGGCACGAGGAGCACGCACATGCTCTCCGCCCGTGGCCGGGCCCATCCCGGGCCCCGGATGAGTGCCTGCGCCCTCCTGGCTGGGCCAGGGAGGCACGTGCATCGGGAACGGCCAGGAGCCCAGACCTCCTCGCGTCGTGAAAAATTCACGACGGGAGGTTTTTCGCTATTTTCGGCCTCCGGGGGCCCTCCCCGGGCCTCGGGACCGTCAAAAAACGACTCAGGATGAAAAACCGGTCCCGGGGAAAGGGTCCAGACCGCTGGGGGTCGACGTCGTGAAAAAATCACGACGTCGGGGGTCTGGGAGGGGGGGTGTCCAAGAGGGGGGGGTGCAAATCATGACCGGCGGCAGGTGCACGGCCCCGCGGGGGGGGGGCCAGGGACGTCATGAAGCAAGATGAGGCGCCGTGAAATCTGGGGAGATAAATCTGGGGAAATTTCATCGCCCCCGCCATGATATCCCCCCCCTTAGTCTTAAGGTCTTCACCACCCTCTTTGCCGCCCCCGATTACATCGCCCCTGGGCCCAAAACGGGCCTGGCCAGGATCGGTGAATGTGCATCTGTCGGGCCGGGCGAAAGGGGGGGATAGCCAAGGGGAGGTTTGAGAATCAGCTCACGTAGCTGCTTTTCCCGGCGCCTCCCGGCGCCGGAGGCGGCTATGTATCGAGGAATGGGCCCCTCGGTGAGGCCGAAACCAGCTGCATGAAGCAAATCTTGCACCCCCCCCCTTTCCCAAACCCCTGTCGTCCGGCCCGAATCTGTCTCGTCCCCCGATCAGAAGGTTTACGTCCGCGGCGACGCCGGCAGCGAGTCCCGCTCAGAGTGCGCAGGAGCTGCTCTCGGTCCTCGTGCCCGTCCTGCCCGTGCCCCTCTCCATCGCCCCGCCTCTCTCGGCCGCCCCCCGCCCTGCGCCACGCCCGAGCGCACCCCCGCTCGGGCTTCGCCCGGGAGCGCCCCCCCGACCAAGAGAACGAGACGGCGGCGGGCGGCGGGCGGCGGCGGCGCGCGGCGCGCGGCGAGCGGCGCGCGGCGCGCGGCGCGCGGCGAGTAGCGCGGGCGCGCGGCGAGCGGCGGCGAGGCGAACGGCGGCGCGCGGCGGCGGCGAGCAGCGGCGGCGTGCGGCGGCGCGCGGCGAGCGGCGAGCGGCGAGCAACGAGCGGCGAACGGCAGGGGGCGGGGCGCCGGCGGCGGAGGCGCTCGGCGGCCGAGCGCCGTGGCGAGCGGCGAGCGGCGAGCGGCGAGCGGCGAGCAGCGAGCGGCGAGCGGCAGGGGGCGGGGCGCCTGGCTGCCCCCCTCCGAGGGCAGGGGCGCCTGCTGGCCTCGGCGGGGCGTCGGGTCGCCGCCCAGCGTCGACACGCCGCTCGGCGTCGGGCGGCGGCGTCCTCCGCCGCCAGCGCTGCCGCCGTGGTCTCGTGGGGCCGTCGCGGGGGTCCTCCTGTGAGGGGGCCCAAGGGTCAAGTCGGGCCTGTCCCCCTACAGGGGGATTCTCGACGAGAAACAAGCATACCAGAAATACTCAAGAATGGTCAACAAATATTCCAAAAATAGTCCCCATATCATTTTTGGACTATTTTTGAAATATTTTTTGGGTATTATTTATTTTTCGTCGAAAGTCCCCCTGTAGGGGTACAGGCCCGACTTGACCAAAAGGCACGCCTACAGGTACACGCACATCCCAGGATCCCCCAGGCTTCGTCTCGCCTTCCCCGCCGCTCCCCAGATGTCCCTGCAATTTCCGGGGGATCGACGATTCTCTGTGTCTGCGTGTGCTTTCCCCTCCTGATCTGAAGTCGGGCCTGTCCCCCTACAGGGGGATTTTCGACGAAAAATGAAAAAATACCCCAAACATAATCCCAAAATAGTCTGGGGACGATTTTTTGAATGGACGATTTTTTGAACATTTTTTACATTATGGAATATTATTTTGGGTATTTTTGTTTTTTCGTCGAAAATCCCCCTGTAGGGGGACAGACCCGACTTAATCCTGATCCTGGGACCTCTTGGGCCGTCCCGGAGGCCTCTTAGGCCGTCCTGGAGCCGTGGGGCTTGGGCCGTCTCGGAGCTGGCCTGGGTGCCTGCCGGGCAGCTCCTGGGGCACTCTGGGGGCTGTCCTGGGGGCCGTCTCGGGGGCCACTGGTCGGGGATGGACAGACCTCCCTTTAGTAAAACGTGGTTTAATGAAAACGGCCTCGGGCCCAAACCTGGCGGGCGCAAGCCTGGAAAATAACGGCCGCGGAGCCCTCTCGAGAACCGAACACGGACAATTCACTAATCGACGTGTCACTGTTGGGGGTTCTGTCCACCCCCGAACTGGGAGCTCTGTGAGACCGTCTTGGGCTTCTCTGGGGTTACGATGCTCCAACCTACTTTAGCCTTAACTACCAGAGATAATTTCGAGCCCCCAACAAAAATACCGAAACGCAAGGGTTTTCACGTGTCGGGCCCTGGGAGACACTCGCCCGACACTGTTTTGACACTGTTTCGACACTCTTTTGACACTTTTCCGGTTGCTGGAAATTACTTCTGGGATGTGTTCCCTAAGTAGGGTGGGAACAACATGCCTAGGGGGCAAACAAACCTACCTCGCTTTTGACCACCCTCGCTTCCAAGAGATACCAAGCGATGCCAAATAGCAGCCTGTACTGGTCAGGCCGCTTGACGAGGAGGCGCGTGGTATGGCTTGGTTTTGCCTGGAAGCGAAAGCGGGGGAGGTAGTTCACGCTCTGAATAACTCTGGGGTAGTCTTCAGGCCCTCTAGAGCCATCTTGGGGCCCTTGGCGGGGCCTCCTGGACCGCCTCGGGGCGATCTGGGATGGCCCTGCAACCGTCTGGGGCCGTTCGTGGCCCGAAATGGCGAGAACACGGGAAACTTTCGAACGGCATACATATATATATATATATACATGTATATAATTATGTATATATATATGTATATATATATATGTATATATATATATAGAGAGAGAGAGAGAGAGAGAGAGAGAGAGAGAAATAGAGAAAGAGAGAGAGAGAGAGAAACAACAAAAAACAATGATTTTGGCTTCGGGGGACGGTCGTCGGGGTCCGGCTGGGCCGTCTTCGTTTTCGGAGGCACCTGGCCGGTCGTCGGGCCGTCCTGTATTGTCATGGAGCTCTGTTCTGTTGGGGCTCTCTTGGGACGTCCTCGCGCTCCCGGAGCGTCTCGGAACAATGTTCACGGCTGCCTGAGGCCGCCTTGGAGCCACCTGGGGGCTCCCGGGAACTGTTCGAAAGCGGCGGAGCGCTCCAGGTGGTCAGGGGCAACTGGCGCATTGCGGGCGCATTTCGCGCGCGCAACAACCAGAAGTGTAGTACAGACTAGTGCTGACCCGTGGACTACGTCTACGAAATCTGCGCGAACTGGCATGCGATAGTGGATGTGTTCCCGAATAAACGAAATTCTAATACGCGGCTCTAGTCACGCATTCCGTGCGTGATACTGAATGCTGCTGCTTGCCGCCGAGGTTACGCACCTTTGGTTATGCTTGCCGCTGCTGCTTGTTGTTGCAAAATCTTGCCGGTACCCAGGTCTGCTACTGCCCGCTGCCTGCTGCTGCTGCTCTGATGCTGCTGTTGCTGCTTGGTGCTGTTGTGTGCTGCCGCCGCTGCTGCCTGCTCTTCATGCTGCGTGATGCTGCCATTCGCTGCTTGTGCTTGATGCTGCACGGTGCTGCTTCTCGCTGCTTCAACTTGCTGGCGTCACCTGCTGGCAAGAAAAAGGCCGATGAGTCAGGATCTGAAATATCGAATGTGAAAAGGAAGACGCGAAGAATGATCATTGAAACGCGGGAAGGGAACGAGAAGAGAGGAACGACGGCCGAAAATGCTGAGGGACGTCACGCGGGCACGGCACGGCAACCGGGCGGCATCCGTCTAGCAACCTTGCACGCAGTAGGTCGGCTTTGATGATCGAAGCGAGACCCCATACCGCATTCGCTGGCTCGGGGAATATGCAATTCTCGGCAACCCTGGGAAACTTGGGGCGAACTACGCACGCCGTCGGAAGTCTTAGCGACCTCCGCCCGAGACAGCCCAGGGCGGAGCTCGCCTGGGCGACGCGTGAGTGCACGAGCGCCGCTGTCGATGTCGCAGGCGCTCGAGGCTCTCACCGAGAAGTCGCTGAGCAGCGGCAGCTGTGTCCTCGGCGTGCCCAAGCCGAGGAAGTGCGACGCCGCCTCGCTCGGCACCATCATCGAGTGCTGCTGCGCAGCCGAAGTGGCATGAGCGGTGTCCCCGCGCCGCTGCTTTGCACGACCCAATGTACTGGTAGTAAATAAGCATGACCTGCGCGAAAGCCGCATGTCGGCAGCCGCCCGCCCTGCAATTCGTGAACATGCGTTCGAGGGCTCGCTGGAGGCCGTGGAAAGGATAACTGCATGCTCCCACTCCCGAGCGAAAGCCCAAGCAGGAACGGCAAGAGACGCGGCGTTGCCCCTGCCGCCGCGGCGGGTGCGCGAGGCGTCGGAAGCAACGGGGGGACTTCCCGCGGCATTCCAGGGTCGGTGGCCATGGCCTCGGTCTGCCAGACAGCGAAGTTGAGCGGGCTCGCGCCGTTGTCGAGCAAGCCTGGGTCTTTGCTTCCAGGCGCCCAGGTCCGGCGCGCAATGCAGGGCCCATGGCCAGCGCGCTCCTCCGCAGGCCTTGGGCGAAGTAAATCAGTGCCGAAACTTACTTGTGAGTGTGAGTCGCCGTCCACAGAGGCGGCCCTTTGATCGCGGGCGCTGGCGGCTGGTCCGAGCCCGCGTTGATCGCGGTCCTCGCGGGGTTCGTAGCTGCAGGTGCCGACCGGTGGGCAGGCGGAGATGCGGCGCTTCAGCTAGCAGACCATCTGATGGTGCAAAGCGCCCCCTTCACAACCGGGTGTGTCATAGAGAAGCAGCCCCACGCCCTATGTTCGCGCTGTGCGGAGTGGTTCTTCCGCGTTGCACAGCGCAGCGGTTGGTTATCTCCAGCGGTCGCCATCGTCGCTGCCCTGCATGGCGCGAACAACTGATGACGCGGATGATGCATGCGATCGAACGCTTGCCGTCTCTGGTCGCACCCGCAGGTGGCGCGTTGCGCGCCGTGTCCGCGGGGCGCGGGCGCGCTCGCGATGGCTCGCTCCGCGGAAACTGCAAGCAATCTAAGGGCGACTCGAAAAATGAGCGCGCGAATGCCAAAGTGGCGACAGAAACCGCGCGCGTCAACTTGCTGCGGCAACGCAACTTCAAGTGCGCATCAGTTCCGCGTTGCTTTACCAGCTCAGCCGCTTTTGCGGGTGATGGCGAAGTGCTGGGCCTTGCGCGTCATGGCGGCGCAGGAAACGTCGTGGCCTCTCGCGCGCGATGCGCAAGACACCGCGGCGCCGCGTGTGGAGCGCAGTCGCAGCACGGAGCGTCGTGGCGTAATCCTGGGTCTTGGCTCGCGCGCTCAAGTGTCGCCCGCTTGCGTGCGCAAGTGTGGTTCCACTGTAGTCTGGGCGAAGTTCAAGTGTCGTCCAGGTATAGCCAGATGGGGTTTCAAGTGTAGCTCAAACGTAGTCGACATGTAGTCCAACTTTGTTCAAGTGCGTTCCAAATGAAGCCCGGGTGTAATTCAAGTGCGTATCAGGTGTAACCATTGTAGTTTTACGTGTAGTCCAAGTCTAGTTCTGTTCTTGTTCAAGTGAAAGTCAGGCGTTTGTTCAGGGGTAGTCCAATGGAGGTTCCAGTGGGGTTCACTTGTAGTTCAGATAGAACCATCTGTGGTTTAGGGTAGTCCTTGTCGTTCAAATGTATTGCACGTAAGGTTCAAGTGTAGTTCTCAAGTGTAGCCCACGTGTGTTTCAAGTGGGCCCAAGTCTTGTTCGAGCTGAATTCGGGCGTAGTTCAAGTGTGGTCCAGGCGTAGCCATTGTAGTTCGCATGTAGCTTAAGTGTAGTTCGGATGCAGTACAAGCGTAGTTAACATGTAGGTCAAGTGCAACGCATGTGCGGAACAGGTGTAGCTCACGTGTGGTACAGGCGTGGCCTTTGTAGTTCTAATGTAATTCAAGTGTAGCTCAAGTGTGGTTCAAGCGAAGTTCGCATACAGTTCGGGCGTGGTTCAGGTGTGGCTTGCGTGCGGTCCAGGTGGAGTTCAAGTGTAGTTCAAGTGTGTCTCAGGCGCCATCGTTGTAGTTCGAGTTTCGCCGACGTGCTGTTCAAGTGCAGCCCGCGTGTTCCAAGTGTTGTCTAGTTAAATGAAATTCATGTGTCATTCAAATGTGGTTGAGTTGTAGCCCGTGTACCTCAAATCTAATTCAAGCGTAGTTCAAGCGTCGTCCGAGAGTAGCTCAAGTGCGGTTCAAGTGTAGTCCATCTGCAAGTCAAGTGTAGTTCTGGTCTAGTGCAAGTGTGGTACAGGTGTCGCCCTTGCATTTCATGCGTGTCTAGCCAGGTGCAGGAGCAGTTCAAGTGAAAGTCAAGTGTGGCTCACACGTGTGGGTCGAGTGAACTTCAGGTGTAGTTCAAGCGTGGTGCAGGCGTAGTCCGTATATTTCAAGTATAGTTCAAGTGTGGCCCAACTGAAAATCAAGTGTGCTTCAAGTGTGGTTCAGGTGTAACGCAAGTGTAGGGTCAAACGTGCTTCCAGTTCAGTGCGGGTGTGGTTCATATGCGGTGCATGCGTAACCCTCGTAGTGCGAGTGTACTTCAAGTGTGCTTGGAGTATGCTCGGTATCGTTCAAATGTGGTTCAAGTGCGGATCCAGTGTAGATCGGGTGTGTTTCGAGTGTGATTCAAGTACAAACATTGAAATGCTAGTGTAGCGCATGTGTAGTGCAAGTCAGTCGTTTCTCAGTGTAGTCACGTATAGTTCAAGTTTGGTTCATGTCTAGTTCAAATGGAAACCTCGTGTAATCATTGCATGTGCAGTTCATGTGCGGTTCAAGTGTGGTCCAAGTGTGGATCAACTGTGGTCCGAATGTAGTTCTGGTGGGGTGCGAGTGTGGCACAGGTCTAGTCCTTGCAGCTCATGCGTGTCTAGCCTGGTGCAGGTGTATTTTAAGTTCGGTGCAAATGTGGTTCGCACGTATGTTTCGTGTGAAGTTCAGGTGTAGTCCAAGCGTGGTGTAGGCGTAGCCCGTATATTTCACATACATTTCAAGTGTGGCCCAACTGAAAGTCAAGTGTGCTCCAAGTGTGGTTCAGATGTAATGCAAGTGGAGGTTCAAATGTGATTCAAAGGGCAGTGCGGGTGTGGCTCACATGCGGTTCCTGTGTAGTCATTGTACTGCACGTGTGCTCCAAATGTGCTTGACATGTGTTCGGTGTCGTTCAAGTGTGGTTGTGTATTTCGGGTGTGTGTGTGTGTGTGTGTGTGTGTGTGTTCGAAGGTGATTCAAGTACAAGCATGGGAACTCTAGTGTACCTCGTGTGTAGTGCAAGTCAGGCGTAGTTCGTTGCAGTCAAGTATAATTCAAGTGTGGCTCAAGCGTAGTTCAAATATAATTCACATGGACATCAAGTGTAGTCATTGCAGTTCATGCGCAGTTCATGTGTAGCTCATGTGTGGTTCCAGTGTGGTTCACGTGGGGTCCAAGTGCGGATCAAGTGTGGCCCGAACGTTGTTCAGGTGGGATGCGAGTGCAGTTCAGGTGTAGCCCTTGTAGTTCGAATGTAAATCAGATGGCGTGTCAATGCTGTTCAAGACTAGTTTAAATACTATTCACGTGTAGTACACGTGTGGTCCAGTGTTCGTCAGTGCGGTTCAAGTGGAGATCCTCTGTAGCTCGGGTGTAGTGCAGGCGTTGGTCAGCTGTGATTTAGATGTGGTTCAAATGTAGTTTTGGCGCGGCTCATGCGTATTCCAGGCGCAGCTTGAGCGTGTTCCTAGAATGGCGCTAGTGCGTGTCAGGTGCAGGCCAAATATAGTGCATGCGTAATTCCGGTGTACTTCTGGCGCAGCTCAATCGTGGCCCAAGCACTGCGCCCCCTCGGCGCGCTGCAGCATGGCTGAGCATTCGCGGCGCGGGCGTCGTTCACGCGCACTGCAAGAACAGTGCAAGCGTTGGCCGTGCGTGGCTCGAGCAACGGGCGCGCGCTTCGAACGCGGCGGCGCCGCTCCGCTCGCGTGAAGGCACGCGCGCCCGAAAACGGGCGGGCGGCAGACAAGCCGCCGACTCGGCGCCGCGCCGCCCCGGCCGACGGCCGCGCGCAGCACAGTCTGGCCTGCGCGTCCTTCAGGTGCAATAAAGGATGACTTCGCGCGCGACACAAATGCGCGCGTTCGAGCTGTTTTTTTGATCGCGCGCGCGATGGCGGCGCGGCGTCGCTGATTTCCGCGCGTCGCCCAGCCCTGGTGCCGCGCGAACTGGCGGCCGCGCGAAATGCCGCGCGCGCGAGGCTGGCGGCGGCGCGGCCGCTCGCCCCCCTCGGGCAGCGCGCCAGCGCCCCGCCGACCGCGAAGGAGCTATTTGGGAGCGCCCTGGGTGCTCTTTTAGGCTTCGCGGGGGCTTTCGGGGATTTCTTGGGTCACCTTGGGGCCATCTTGGGCTTTTGGCCCTAGTCGGGCCCCACTTCAAATCCTCGTGGACCATTTTGGGCGCCTCTTGGGCCGTTCTGTGGCCGTTTAAAACCATCTTGTGGCGATCTTGGAGGCCGCTGGGGCCGCCTTGGGTGCGTCGAAGAACAAAAAGCGGATCTGGTGAAATCCCGGAGGGGATGTGGCGATTTTGCCCTAATGTCGTGGGGCTCGTCTTGCAGCTCTCTGGAAGCGTTTTGGAAGTTCCTCAGTCACCGAAGATGATTCGTGGAACCGTTTTTGGCCGTTTGGGGTGCTTCTTGGGGGGCTGAAGACGATGTTTGGCTCTTTCGGGGCCGCCGTGGGGCCGCGTGGGCAATTTTTGGAACAGCCTTTGGCCGTTTGGGGGCCCTTTGCAAGGCCGCTTCGGCGCCCAGGGACTCCCCTACACCCGCCAGGCACCCCTCGGATTTACTTGAACGGATCTGCCTGTTACTTCGGGTTTCGCGGGGCCCACCCCCAATTCAAAGGGTGCGCTGAAAGGTCTGAGGATGGGGCATCGTCGAGGATGCCCGCCCGGAGCCGCCCCCGCAGTGGCCCCAACTCTGTCCCAGATGTACCCTATCCTCGGAATGCGGAAACCAAACAATGTACCCATACCGCTGCCCCCCAGACCTCTCCCAGGGTGCGCTCGGACCAGGATATCGAGGCGAATCGGGCCGTGGCGACGAGGCCCTCCCAGCAGGCCCAGACAGGCGAAAACAAGGCCAGGGTAGCGGCAGGGCTGGACCTAAAGGTTGTACTTCGTCTTGTTTCCGTTTCGTCTCTTCCGTTCTGCCCGACCTCTTCTCCGGCGCCCCCCCGCCCCGAATCGAGGCAACACGCAGCACACAGCCGGCGTCCCAACAGAAACCACGCTGGGGTCCAGCCCTGGGCAGCGGCATGGGTGCCCCGTCCTCCGCGGCCGGAGGCCCCCCCCCCCCCGAACTCCCCAGAGGCCCCGCGGAGCCCCCGCTCCGCTCCGCTTCCGCGCGCCGGGCGCGGCGGCCGCTGGGGCCCCCGCCGTCCGCGGCCTCGCCGGCGGTGGCCCCCGTGTCTGCGGCTGCGCCCACGGCCTCGGTGGCGACCTCTCCGGCGGGTGGCCGCCGGGGAAGGCGCCGTCGCCGTCGCCGTCGCCGCCGCGGCCGTCGTCGCCCAGGCCGTCCTCGCCGCGATCGCTGCAGTCGCCGTCGCGGTCCTTGAACCTGTTCGCGCCGATGACGTCTTCCAGGGGAGGCTCGGGCGGGCCTTCCCCAGGGCGGAAACGCAGACGGCCCACGAAGTCGCCCAAACACCGTTTAGGTCCAGCCCTGACGCCCGGCTTGCTGCTAGTAACAAGGCATATGTCGACCCCTATCCCAGACATCGTGGTGTTTTCGAATGGAACAGAAATTTGAGCCCCAACCCTGGGATATACCATGGAGGGGCGTCCATCCTCGATAGCGGTGCGTCCGAATAGCCCCCTAGGGGTGTATCTCAGGGTTTCCCCATTTCTCTGAGCGGTCAAACCCTTCTGGCGAAACTCGGGGACTGGGAGAGACAAGTCCCCTGCGAGCAGCTGTCGCTGGCGCCCCCCCCCCTCCTGCACCGCCCTGCTGCCCTCCGCGCGTGCTGCCCGATGACGAGCGCGACAGGGCTAGCTTAATGGGCGAAGAACGGTATAAAATAAACTTTTTCGCTGTCGGGGGCGCCTGTCCCTGGGCGGCTGGAAAGTTTATACCCTTACGGTGCCACCGTAGGGGTATGAACTTTCCAGCGCCCTGGGAAGGCGCCCCCGCCGGCGAAAAAGTTTAGTTTATACAATTCTTCGCTCGCTGACTAGCGGGCGTCGGCCCGGCCACGCCGGCGCTGCGAGCTTCCGCTCTGCGGCTTGCCCACGAGAGAACGGCGGACCTCCCGAGCGCTCGCGCCCCGCGCCGGACGCCGCGCGGTCGGCGGCTGCCCTCGGCGCCGCGCTCCCGCGCCGCTCCCCCGCAGTGCTTGAAGCTGTCCCGAGGTGGCGCG